CTGTGTTGCAGAACCATTGTTGTATATATGACAAAAGGTTGAGATAAATCACAATACAAGTGGTTCAGATTAAAGGCCTGTGTCGTATTTTCACGCCGCGTAGGCTTTAGGCTTGTGTACGCGTGTTGTGTTGTGTTGTATTCCTCTCTAGCAAGTAGGACTTCGCTACGCTCATGTGGATAAAGTACAACGCGGCGTATTGCATTTTCATGCGTTATCTGACGCGATTTTAAAACGCTCATGAAAACACGTATGTGGAGTCCTGTTTTTTTTAACTTTTTCAACAATTCAACCCGCAATAAATCCCTTCAACTCTAAATTTTAGAAATGAGGGGTTGGGATTTTAGTATTTTTGTTTCTGGAGTTCTTGATATAATATAACTAAACCGAATTAATACATTATACCTACAATAATATGTTTCAAACATATCTACGAGATTACTGAAAGTATGTCTCAGATTGCAAAGAAAAGAAGATTGTATTTAAATAAAGATCAGAGTATATGGCCTGTTATTTATTCAGCCAGTTTGCTTTATCCTTAATTAGTTTAATCAATGGTAGACAAACAAGATTTAGTTAGTAATGATTAACATAGAATGAAGATTGATATCTTTTCCTTTCACTATTGATTTTAGATCTCATTAGTAACATCGTCTACAGTTTTCTTCCACGGATATCCTTTATATCCATGTCTTTTCTTTTTACACAAACGAATTCATCATTCTTCCAGAGTTCAATATAATGCTTGTGTCAAGGGAATTATCCTCGAATGTTACGTCGAGCCTTCATGACGCCACCTATATCTGTCGGTCAGTCTAATATCTGGTAAACACCCTGAAGGTGGGCGCAGTTCAACATCCGGTTCAAATCATTTCCCCGGCTTCATCGCAATCGACCCAAACAAAGCACTCATAATATTAAAAAAAAACTGTGATTCAGATTTTAACATTTATGACGACATACAACCCTACATCACCAATTTGGCTATTCCTGTCATAGTAATAGACGCTACTATCAGAATCTTTAAGATCAATATCACTAGTCTACAGCAAGAAGCTTGAAACTGCTTATAGAAAAGATTGAAATATCAGTAATATTCTAGTCAATGGTAGAAATGACCCTTTACAATCTTAAAACATATTGAGTTTTAATGAACGTAAACCTGGCTCCGCCACTGCCCCTCCGTCAAGCTAACTGTAAACATTTCTGGAAATTGTATTAATTTTCTGGATACGACTGTATTATAGGACCAAATTACAATCAAGCTAAATAATTCGACTTCATAGTATATTTCAAAGAAACTGACACACACCAACTTTTATTCAAAACTTCGTTCCATCCGAAGCACACATTTTAAAGAAAGACGGATTTTGATTCAGGATGTGAACTATTTTTTTGGTAAATTAAGAGATAGGGGTTTATCATTCAAAACTTTTTACGCAGGATTTAAAACGACACTATTTAAGAGATTCAAAAGCAAAATAATCCCCCAGTTCTTCACATTATTTTGAAAATAAGAAAAGCGAGAAAATATTTGTGATGTTAGACGTTCTTTCTTGTGTAGATACAAATTTAATTTACCTAATTTCTTGTAAAAAATGCTATGTTCAATAATGCTGCTGAAACTCAAAATGCCATGACCATAGTTCGATATACTTCATAAAAAAGATAGACCAATTGCGAATCATTTCAACCTACCCAATCATTCCATTGAAGATATTCTTGTCATGGCCATTGAAAAAGTTTCCTTACTACCGTTAAACCCAAAACTAAGCGATTGTAGAGAGAGAGTTTCTAAATCAATCAATTGCAAACCGTTGTACCTAATGGTCTAAATATCCAGCATGACAATCAAATCATACCCTTTGTTGCAATCTATAATTCCACTGCCAAAAATGCTTCTCTGATTGAAAAACGGTATTACAAGGAACTACAAGATCAGTTGGTGAATATTTACACTAAACGTTTGGTTAATGCCTTTAAGAGAAACAAAAATCTAAATAATTTACTTGTCCATGGTAAAGTAAAATGTGTATCCAGGTCTTATAGAACCAATATATGTGATAGACCTTAATACTTCTCACTTTAAAAAAGAACTTAAAATAATCATTTCTTTCCATAATGACTTTTTTTTATTGCCAAGGTACTTGAAACCTTTGACCACAGGACACCAAGATAATCTCATAAACATTCTTCCTGTCAGTATGACCAACAGAACAGCCGTGAGCAGTGATTTTAAGGCACAATTTACCAGAATGAGATCGAAGTATATTCATCATAATGAATTGTTTGCTTGCTCATTTTAACACTAAGTTTCCATACAAATGTTTTTATTTGTTCTGGAAATCTATTTATAAAATATTCGAATTTTTATGGATATTTTATAATGGATAGCATCGTAAGATATCTTATAACAAGAGGCGAGCTTTTTAGGTTGCATGTAAGTAAGTTATGGGATTTATGACAATGCAGATCATTCTTATAAAACTTCCGCTCGAAATATTCAGTTCCATCTTTTTCAAAACCCCTCAAATCTTTGACTTAGATTATGTAGCCTTAAGTAGTTAAATAAATGCAATATGATGGCAACATCACTGAAACAAGCTTTTATTTCATTGGTAAAGATAGCTTCCCAGGCAAGATAAGCTTTGATTTTAAACAAAAATATTTGGCTGTACAGTAATAATTACATGTACCAGTATGAAACATTTAACCTTCAGTCTGAGCTTTTTTTGAATTTTTGGGGCGATACTGTATAATATTACCAAGTTTCGTCAAAATCTGTCAATAATGCAAGTATTCAACCTTCTAGAGCGTTCACGAGCTAAAAATTAAACGCGTTTTCAAGAACAAGAGCAATAAATCATATATATATCGAAATATTTTTCTTTGATGGTAGATAACAAACACTCACACAAAGTTTCGTCAAAATCCGTCAGAAATGTGCCTTCTAGAGTGTTTACGTGCTAAATATTGAACGCATTTACAAGAACAAGGGCAATAACTCTTACTAATTCACACTTCGGGGCGTGAAAATGGCATTTAAATCTGACCAATCAGATCCGTAGAACTGAAATGAGGTCATGTAAACAAAATACCGCCTTGCCACCGATGTTTGAAGAAATAACTACACATTCTTTCCCAGTAAATATTCCAAAGGTAGGTTTGTTTTTCTCTCGGCTTCAATTTTTTAACAAAAACCTTACTCAATTCTGTACCGTACATATTCATCAAAATATTTAATTAATTTTATATGTATTTATATTTTAAATGACAAAACAAAGTATATTAATTTAATTACTTAATTATAACGTTGACCTTTGTAAAGGGCATAGTAAACGTCTGTAGTCAATTTACCTCCCTTCTTGTGCGGGACTATAGTGTAGGCTTAATGGCGTTTTGCTCATGGAAGTTGAAAACACAAAAAAAGTAAAGCAAATGTCTTTCACCAACAAATAAACAGCTTTGTTTACATGTGTGCCTGTTAGATCATTGGAAGCTTTCTCATATATACGTTGACACTATTTTATTAATATTGACAGAACTTCAAGGGCCGGTGATAGGGCCCATTTTGATTGGACAATATTTAGCTACTAATACGTAATTTTTTCACACTTGTGTTACCACGGCCCCAAGGAAGTATGACGAATAGGGCTGTGGTTTGGACAAGATGAAATTAAGGCAACTTTCACAGAAGTTAATGAGAAGTTCAAAAGTCACGATATCATTGCGCATGCGCATTATATCAACTATGATAATGGCGGGAATTTGTTTAGAATGCGCTCGCGAAGCCATGACATATCATTAATGTTAGCCAGGTGCGTTCAGACGGCCAAACTAAGCTGGCTTAACTTTTCAAGCCAGGTTTTAAGCCATCTCTGAAGTAGGTGCAAGTTAAGGAAACGACTAAATAAACCGGGCTCGATGAACGGTGTTAGGTAAGATGCCTAAACTTTAGTCGTCTGAATGCATTATGATGATTAGAACAGTTTTATTTTGAGTTAACAATAAGGTTAACAAATATTGTAAAGAAGATATAAAAAGCTAAGAGCATAACAAAAAACAAAATGTAAATACATCAACAAAAGCATGACAAAGCTTTCAAGTAACAATAAGATTTGAACATTAAAGATATATCTATATGGCATTGCAACCTTTCTTGCCTTACTTTAGTAGGGGCTACTACTGCATTTCAAGAAATATATTGAGAATTTACTTATAGTTATTATTTTCCTTAGAAAATAAACAGGTCTGTAGAACTGGGAGATAAATTCCTTACAAATTAACTAAACAAAATACAGAATTTATAAGCTAACTTGTGTTTGAGACAGTGAAATATGGGAATCCTATAAAAGGGAAGTAAATCTATTTACATGTTTTTTTCTGAAAATCTGTTTTGCTTAATCAAAGAATCTAAATCTAAGCAGACACTGTGAATATTTCTGGGGGTTATCTATGACTAAAAACACAGATAATATCCACACTGTTATAACCACAATAACTGTTTTCAATAATAAATATTTATCAATTCCACCACTACAATAACTGTGCTGAGTGAGATACCAACACACTTGTCAAAACACATGATGCTCTCTTGCAACTGGGTTTTACAACTCTGTATCACTTTCAAAGAGTTAAAGAATTATTGAATTATTTATAATAGCTACTATTGTTTATATCAGTTGGTGCCCAACAACTGTCCTTAAAAAACCAATTATGGATATTTGCATAAACTTTAGTTTTTCTGTTTGGAATATGGAGAATTTTACACAAATCACACATAGCATACAATACATTGCCAGGAACATGTTCAAATTTATCTTTTTGTATCAAGAATTCCACATATTGAGATGGATTACTAGAAAGAGAAGATAAGATGCCAAACTTTTCACAGAACTAAAGTCATCCACATTGATATAGGTATTTTCTGGATAGTAATCTGAAGAAGTAGCACTGCCGCGAACTACTGATATAATATTTCTGCTTTGAATATCGAAAAACTATTCAGTCACATAGTCCTTACAAAATGCATTTTCAAATGACAAATAGAATTTATAATCTCTCTCTATAGTATCAAAAAGATAAGGGTCTTTAGATTCCATACCACACTTTCCATAAATATCAACATCAATATATTTTGATAGCTTTTTGATGTAAGTTTCTCTGTCGGATGGTGTACGACAATGGCTCACAACAAAAGCAACTTGTTTCTTTTTTCTGGATAGTAAAGTATAAAAATCATTGTGCTTGGATGGATTGAACTTTTTTCTTGTCATTCCATAATTTACAACAATATCAGAATCTAAACGATATGTCATTGTCAAATTTATCTGATTGACCCAGTCCTCATGGCTCCACGGCTTTATATGGTTGAGATAAGGTGACTCCATGGTGAAAAATGCCCAAACTTGATTTGCAGGCCTTGGAGACAAAGCATAAGGATAGTGTATGCTGCACTATACACTATCGCATCCATCTGGGAGAAATCACCTTGACCATACTGTTTCTCCCACACATCCACAGTGCACTTGTTAATTTGGCAACCAGACATGATTGTAGGAGACTTGAGATTGTTTTTTTTCCCAAAGTGGAGGATTTACCCATAAAATATGCTTAACTTTGTTTTGTTTAGAATTGCAGTATCTGTTGGCATTATCTCATTACGAGTATTATACCATGGATTCACTGCTCGTTTAATATGAACATCACTTTTGCTAGCTTCAAATAAAAAGTGAGTTCTTTGAAACCAGGTTGCATAAAAACATATTAATATAAAAGAGCATATTAGGATGACAGTGTGGCTATCAAATGACAATCTTCTCAATCTTCTTCTATATCTACGACATGCAAAATTTGTCAGCAGCATCATCCCGCCTTCTCAATAACTATAACAAAAATATCTTCAAATTACAAATAGTTTTCAACAATCATGTAGATTTCCGATGTCATCACTGAAAATATATAAAACCTAGATTACAATACAGCCACTGTCAAGTTTGTTGAAGATAATATGTTTGTCTCCATTTGATGAAATATGTACACATTTTTTGTGTAGATATAATGCTGTCATCTGTGTTAACTGCACAAATCAAGAAATAAATTTGCATTCCCAAATGTACTACTGTAGGGCTGCAACGACTCTTGAAGTTGTGATCCGATACACTATACGATACTCATCCAACGATACAATTTATTATCGCGATTCATTTATTAGAGAAGGAAAGAGAAAAAATAGTAGAAATTTCTAAAATTACTAACAAGTTTGTCACTATTAAGCACTTGAGAACGTTTAGAAGTAAGGAATTGTGATAAAAAAAAATCTTAATTTTTAAAGTCAGAAATGAATTTTTGCAAGTTTTGAAGGGAAAGTCATACTTGGAAAATGAAAACATGACACAATTTCTTATACGCACGAGATTCTGTGGTATTTGTTATTAAAGGGGGCTAAGAATTAATTGTGCCAATACATCACGATTATTCTTATCTAACGCGATGCATCGATAAGACGGAGACAATCGCGGTTCATCAATTCATCGGCGAATCGTTACAGCCCTATTGGTTAGTAATGTATTTATTTACCTAGTGGCCCTACTAAAAATGACAACACTTTATATTTAAAGATAATAATTATTGAAGTTTTATCTCACAATAATAGAGGTATTAGACATTTGTTCACTAAATTACAGCTTTATAGGTGGAACGACTTCACAATACAAGAATAATTCATGACAAATAGTCAATGTGACCACAATTTTCAGCATAAACTGTCCAATGTCCATGTCCATCACTTTTTAAAGTTGAAATTTAAATTAACTTCATTTAAAGAGATTAATAGCAACCCCCACCCTTCTGATCGCAATCTAGTGTGTGGGAAAGTATATAGCAGGTGATCAGCAATCTTCAAAGAAGAGGAACTCAAGGATAGAATTATGAGAAATGGAATGAAATATCCCTTGAAGAAATCTGACAATTATGTCATGGAAAATGTATTCATAATAATATATGAAAAACGAAAAGTGTTTTGTTAGTATATGATCAATCCTAGTTCAAGTCAATGTTAGATGTGTCAATGGAGCTTAATTATGGCCAAAAATTTAGAATAAATCTGTTTCAAGAGGAAGCATTTCTTTTGTAATATTGGTTTGTCTATAGGCTCAGGGAAACAGAGACACTCATCTGGGATAATCCTTCGTATGACTGCCACCATGATTTCAAATACCGGGATAATACCATATGATAATTGTTTTTATTTGTCCTGATCGACCTTTGGTTATGAATTGTTGTTAAAAAATAACCTGATGAACTTTTTACCATTTATAATCAAACAAAAATGAATTCTTATAATAAAATGAATAAATTGATACAACCTTCCTAAGTGACTTGAGTTGTTACAATATCTCTCTTTACTAAATTTCATTTTATTTATTCAGCTGAACTTCAATTCATTCGATCTATCCCTATGAACTGAAAAATCAATCATTAAAGTCAATTTTAGCAAAGACATTCATCCTCAGGAAAAGACAGCTCAGGACGATTCATCTGCAAGTTTTAATCATATACTTTTAGCAAAGACATTCATCCTCAGGAAAAGACAGCTCAGGACGATTCATCTGCAAGTTTTAATCATATACTTTTAGCAAAGACATTCATCCTCAGGAAAAGACAGCTCGGGACGATTCATCTGCAAGTTTTAATCATATACGTCCACCACGGCATGCGGATGTTAAAAACGAAAATTCCATTTTAAGTTTCATCAAAATCGGTTGAAAACTAAGAGAGTAATATTCAAGATTTTGGGGCAAGGGAAATAACTCTGCTTCTAACGGTCGAAAATAGCTCAAATTCGAACTTGATCTTCGTTTTATGAATATGTATACACATACCGAATTTCATTTGATTCCATCAAAAAATCTAGTTTTTAGAGCGTTTACAAGCAAATGATGACAGATGGACGGACGGATGGACGGACACACTGAAAAAAATGATTTAAAACTATCATTTCTTAATTCAAGGTATATTTTGAGCGGATAATTTCATATTATTTCAATTATTTAATCAGAAGGTCTACTTTCACTTTATCATTATTTGGTAGGCCTATCCTATGTGTGTGTTTTACTAATTCAAAGTTCTTTATTTTCCTTGAGTATTTCTACTCATCGGATACAAATACAAAAAATAAACAAACACAAATATACAAAATACATACAAATACAAACATACAAATACATACAACACATGCATGCATAATGTTACACAGAGATCTTCACATATTTGATGAAAATTCATTTCTTTTATTAATTGATAATTTTAAATAAATGAATAGTTTTTTCAATAATGAAGAGTTTTTTGACGAAAGAAGTTTGATAAGTTTGTACATATTGGGATAATTATAATAATAATGTTTAATATATTTACATCTATATTCATGGTACAAAGGACATAGAAAAATAAAATGGAACTTATCTTCAATATCATTGAGATTATTTGATAAACAGAATTGATCTTTGATTACGGTTAATGTTGGTATATTTTCCTGTTTCAATCCGTAAGGAGTGCACAGATAAACGTATCTTTACATTATTCAAAAGATAAAATTTATATACTGGCTTGGTAGGGTATGGTTGAAGTTCATATCTATTGACTAGATTTATGTATCTATTGACTAGATTTATGTATAATGTACCTTTTGGAAAATCACATATAAGTTCATGACATTCTTGTTGAAAGTTATCTAAAATTCTTTCTTTAATAAGTGAAAATGAATGTAAATAGAGTTGCGGATTTTCCCACATCCAAGTCCAAGTCCAATTTTGTATAAATTTTCTTTAATATTTAAAAGCCAAATATTACTATGTTTATAACTATCTATTAAGCAGGATTTCAATAAAATATTTTCTGAATTTAAAAGCTTTAACCAATATTTAAAAATTCTACATAATCGTATTACATACAAAGGAAATCTACCGAGCTCGTAATATAATATCATGGCATTCATTGTTGAACATTTTACTCTGAGAATAGTTTTTAAAAATAATAAAAGAATAATTTCTATATCTCTATACCTTTATGAAAACCCCAAATTTAACAACTATAATAAAGAATACTACTAACCTAAGAATCAAAAACATGTAACATAGTTTCAATATTCAAATAATCATTGTTGCAGATATTTAAAATAGCGAAAAGAGCTTTTCTCCCTTGTTCTCCCAATCTTTTTGTGTTTTTAGAAATTTTCTAATCAGGTTTAAAAGCATATCAACTCATGATGTTATGTCAACTAAAATCGATACAAAACGAAGTTAAGGAAACACAAAGGCGGATTGAAAACTCGGGTGAATATGTGAGCAGAAGTCAAAATATTGTAATACGAAATCTTTGGGTGAGTGATAATGAGACTGGTGATCAGACATTGAACAAAGTTAATAGGTTAATTGTATTGTATTGCTTTATTACCATATATGTACATAGTACATTTTTGACAATTAATAATAATAATTAATACTTGACGGATTGCAACTTAATGATGTTAAATTTGTTCGAGCTGAACGAAAGAAATCTAGAAGTGACAAACCTGGTGTTGTGATTGCTACTTTGGAAAGAGTCGAACAAAAAATGGCAGTGATGAAAAATAATAGGACATTAATAAACTCTAGGCAGTAATTGTTTTTTATACAACACGATGTACCATATGAGCAACGATTAAATGACACAAATATGATGACTTTAGTGAAAGCGATCGGCAAGAGTGAAAGTTTAACGATGAGTAGGGGAAGGATTGTAACTAGAAACTCACCTCCCATTAAAACTGAAAATTATCATAGCATCTTTAGAAGTGATCATCCTGACACCAGAAACCTGTCAAATACAGAAGTTTATCGATACAGTCAACCGAAACGCAATACCAATGATCGAAATTTTCAGCCCATAGTTTCGAATCGATTCGATAATGGGACTCGACAATAGGTGAAATACGAGTTTTGGAACGTCAGAGGGTGGAATTCAGACATTTTATCAAGTAATCATATACTACGTACAGCATGTGCCAAGTTTTTAGATCTCATCTTACACTAGTTACAGGCCAGAATGTGATAAAACTTAGCGGAACCTTCATAAAAATGCAAAGGTTGGGTCAGGTGGTGTTGGACTATTATACAAAACGCCTACAGAAACAGAGTTTGAGGATTCGAAGGAATTCTTTGGGTGAAATTAAAACAGAAGTTTGGTGACTTTCAATTTTTAGTGTGCGTAGCTTATTTGACCCCTGAAAACTCATCTAGACAAATAGATGTTGATGAGTTTTTTGATACCTTACTATCTCAAGTTTATATTTATCAAGATGTTGGCCCTTTTTTCATTTGTGGGAATTTTAATGCGAGATGTGGAAGTAATGATGATTTTATTGCTGGAGTTGATT